CTCAGCGCTGCCGGGCCGGGGCAGTCGCCGCCGCCGCTCCTCCCGCGGCTGCTGCTGCTGGCGGTGGCGGCTCCAGAAGCTGCTGCTCGGGCTCTGGCTGCTGGGTTCGTAGAGGCTGCTCGATCCCGGACTCTGCTTTCTTGTGCTCCTCGCCGACCCGCTGGACCATTCTGCCCCCGTGCAGCGCGCTTCTCTCGCTCCCGGGACCTGGGGACTCCGCTCTGTGTGTGTGCAGCGGGCAGCGGCCGCAGCAGCTCCTTGATTCAATAGATGAGATGGAAGAAGAAAAAAAAGAACTCTCTCCATTTGGAGAAAGAGGAGGAGGAGGGGAGGGGGTGGAGGGGGAGAGAGCGAGCGAAAGAGAAAAAGGCTGGAGCTCCCGCCCCTGGGGCTGTCAGATGGCTTGGGTTTCTGCGACGCGATTGGCTCACGGAGGGCAGAAATTACTCAGCAAACATGACTATTATTAGCTGCTTAGCAACAGCTCACCAAAGTAGAGAGACCACCCAGGTAGGCAACCCCAGTGTGTGCATCCCGGCTTCGGGGGGAGCCTCCAAGAGCGCCAACGTTCTCGCATGCAATACTTCCATTAAGGAATGTCCTCCCCCCTTTCTTTCTTATTTTCTTTTCAACAGTATCTTCTTTTTGTAGACGCCTTTTGAGCGCGCGCGCACACACTCACACACACACACACACACACACACGCAAACACCCACGAACATTTGCCTCGAGATAGACACGGGGGGAAATGTAATATTTTTTTAAGCGCTTAAACAATTTCTGAAATTCCTCAAAGAAAACCCTTTCAGAGGCACCTTGGCCTCAAGCTGCAGCAAATACTGGGAGGTCCGGCTTGAATTCCCAGGCCTGCACCAATAATGACAGGGTGGTGGATAGTACGCCAGTATGTGCCAGATTTTTTTTTTTCATTCTCTCTTTTCTTTTATAACTAAAGAGAAGACTTAGACTCTTGCAGGGAACAACGCCTAGCATTAAGATAAACAAAATAGAAAGTTAAAGAGGAAAGTAAGGACGTTGGAAAGAGAAACCCTCTTTTAAAATCCATTCCCTCGCCCCCTCCCCGCCTAAAAAAAACCCCAAGGCAGCACAGTCCGGGTTTGAAGGAGGCCGTGTATTATGAACGTGGAATCCAGACACTGAAGCATTCTCATGGAGGCAGAGGCGTTTTTATTTGAATCTTTAATGTGACATATGTAAAAGAGAAACAACAGAATCTTTTTAACAACCCAGATAAACGGAATTGTTTCCTTGAGGAAGAAGTTTTCCTGACTATTTTGGATTTATTTGGGCTTAGTCACCCCCCCTTTTTTTAAAAAAAAATTAACATGTCCTTATTTATTTAAAGCCTGTTTTAAACTTTTTGGAAAAACTGGTACGCATCCTGTTATATTTATTAATAGCGTGACGTACGGGAGAATAATGGCTTTGATGTTGGGTTCACTCGAAACAAATTGTGGGCTGATGGCGAGGACTTGTCGGGACACTGCGGCCAGTGTCACCGAGACATCCCGGGGCTTCGCTTCCCATTGGGGTAGAAAACACGCGACTCTTTGAGGTGGATCCTGGGGCCCGAGTCAAATTAAACTGTCCACATAGCGCCCCTTTTTATTTAAAAATAATTTGGGGGCAGTGTAATTTGTGAGGTTTTTTTACGCTTGCAAGTTAAGTTCCTCCCTGAGATACGGTCCAGACCCCCAAACCCTCGATTCTGCCTCGTTTTCGTATTTGTTTTTTCTTTTTTAAAAACTGGGGCTCAAAGGCAGAGGGACCGCGCGGCAGCAAGAAGCCGACTGAAGCCGTGAAATGGGGCCGTGTGGCTTTAAGATGCACACGGTGTGTGTTCATTGAAAAAAAAAAAAAGAAGAAAGGAAAGGAAAGAAAGAAACCCAGATGGAGAGAAAGGGGGAGGAGCGGGGGAGAGGGCGGAGCTCACGTGTTCACGTGACCCCGGGCCCGGCCCG